ATTTTAAAGAATGTAATTCAATTTGTAGTGATCACATTATAAATAAAATATTTGAAATTATTGTACTGTACTTTGTAGATTATAGGAAAACTAGTTTAAACCCTTTATCTTTTGAAATCATTATTTTAGAAGTTTGAGTAAAAAACAAAAAAAAATAGCAGTTTGAAAAATTTTAAATCATCTGTATCATAAATTGAAAACACCACTAGCAATATGCCAATACTGTGCAATTTTTGGCAGCAGCACTGGAGGCAAATTTAAAAATTTCTGTTATGATAAAGATCCTGTTGGGTCACTATTGAAGTTTCTCTTGTCAGAGTGTTTCATATTTTGGCTTTGTCTAGTAAAGTGAGCTAGCTTTGTGTATTCTTTGTTAATTGTTGTTTCTTTGTATAGATTTTTAATTCTAGAGAGATTCATTTTCTTTTTTCTTTTTACAATAACTTACTCACTGACCCCCGACTAACTTTTAGAAAGGCAAAGAAAGGATACAAAGAGCTAAATCTTTGGCAGAAGTGCAAACTGATTCACTTTTTGAAAAGTCATAGTGAGAGGTGAACAGCTGAAGAGTTGAATTAGTAAGACAACCATTCACATCAAAAAGAGGAAATGCAAGTGTCCGGATAGGTTTTCAAATTTTTATTATTTTTTTACATTATTTTTACAAAAAAAATTTACATTGATTAACATCTGCTTTGTGTGAAATTTGAGAGGAAGGTGTTATTTTTAAGGTCAGGGTAAATCAATGTTTCTCAACCTCTAACAAATCGTCATTCCCTTCAACATAGTATCACCCCTTCAATAAAACCGTTATGTAGTATAGCCCCCTTCACTACAAAATTCTGATGCCGAGGGACAAGGCTAACGTCAAATTCATACTGCATTGAATAGACTAGTGACTAGTATAATGCTATTTGTTTAATTATTGTACAATATAACAAATAAAATATCTAATTATTCTTAATATAATGTTTTACTATATCGTCCAGAAAATTGTTTTTCACCCCCAAAATATAAATTGTTGCTAATCGCCCCCTGAACATGGAAAAATGCCCACATGGGGGGGCGATATCGCCTCTGTTGAGAAAAACTGGGGTAAATGGTCATTGTAGTCCATGCTGACTAACTACTACTACTGTTAATGTCAATTAGTCATTAATTGTTTTATTGTCTTGTAAAGGAAAATGCTCTTCCTGATTTTAAGTCAGTCAAATTACAATGTTATTATTTCATTATACTTGGAAGAATGTTTTCTTTAATGTTTAATTAATGACTAGTTTTGTTAGATCTGATTAATTTTTTTATTTAAGTCGAATTTAACTGGCATGCCAGTAACCCCAGGGTTTCTGGCATGCTGGTCTTCACAATTTTATGCAACATGCTCATCATTCTATGAAAATATGGTAATTCTTCAAAAAAGTATCAGAATCAAAAATTTCATTATCAGGTATATTACTTAACATGTTTAAGGACTCAAATGATGATCCATATAAATTCACATTCAAATAAAATTTTCTAGGATAATATGAAAACCAGTCAATGTCACCAGAAGAAAAAGAAATGCCTTTTGTTTTCTGAATTTTTCTCTGACAATAGACCAGTGTTTTAGAATTTCTACAGTTAATAAAATGTCTATTCATATTCTGATGATAACCATTTTTCTTTTTATGATAAAGATATTTATACAAAGAGAGTTGTTTTCTATACATAAAATAAGCAATTTTATCACTTTTTTTCATCATGATATTAAATAACTGCTTCAATTTCCTTTTCATAAATGAAGACAAACATCCAAAACCAGCAGAAATGAACTCAAAATAGCACTTTTACTAACATTTTTATCTGTTTGTAACAGACATCTTCAGGTAAAATGCATTAAAATTAAATCAAATAAGTATTCAGTTTTAATTTGTTCAATTAGTTCTGTGTTATATGTATTTTACCTGAAAATATCTATCATGAATAGATGAAAATGTTAGTAAAAGTACTATTTTGAGTTAATTCGTGCTGATTTCGGGTGTTTATCTTCATTTAGTGAAGTATTCCAGTTTTGATGCATAACAAACTAAAACACAGTTGCTTTGGTAAATAGTAATGATGTTATATAATAAAACACAAAATATGAAATTAAGAAAAAAGTGAAGAGTTGGAAGAATAGTATTCTTAGATGTTCTTGGATGAATTCAGAATACTGATGTTTATTAAAATGTATATTTATTTATTTTCTCAAAGATTTCCAAGCTAACATCTGGATAGTTCGTTACATCAAATTTGGCACAGTGACATCTTCACTATACTAATTGGATAAGGTAATAATATAATTTTTCATCAAGTGTACTAAAATTTGGGTGATTATTTATTTATTTGTTCATATACATATGCAATATTAATGTGATAGTAATTTCTCTCCAATTATATATCGCAATTATTGTTAATGGCATAAGTAATATATTTTTATTGAAATTTTCAAACAATACAAACTATTCTATTTATAAAAATATAGAGCTTATGTATTTTTAATGCTAAAAATTTATTACATTTTTATATATTACCCTTACCTGTATAAAAAAATGTTATGCTTAGTAATATCATATCTACGGTTTTAAAAAGTCGAAAGGCTCTCACTGAAAATAAATATTTATAATATAATAAACTTTAATATAAAAATTTCTACATTTAACATATGAATTTATTTACTCAAAACATTAGTGTTTCTGGCCTTCACATTGTTTTTATCCTAGCACTTTTTGTTTCCTATAACCCATCTTCAAGGCCTTATAAAAAGATCACTATAGTCTATTTATCGTAAGCTGGCACCTACTGTAAACAAATTAAGAAACATCCCACTTTGTTTATTGGTTTAAACCTATGCCCATCAATTAGAAACCGGGTTGCATCTCATTTGTCTGCAGAAAATAGTTCCTTGTTATTTATGAAATCATTAATGAAATACTGGCCACTTAGCAATACTTATTGTAGTTATTTCATATTTGTTAAATTAATATTTTTAATGATTATTTGTACATTCTGAATCATTAAAAATAAACTTTTTCCGATCATGTGCATTAGAAATCTGCTTAGAAATCAACGATTCTAGAACAGAAAACTAGAAATCCCACAGACACTGGTTTGAAGAAGGATATACTCTTTCAGTTCTTTAGCAATATTCTAAACAAAAGGAATGCAACTCCAGATAATTCTATTCAGAAAGGTTTAATAAACAGTTTTAAAGCTAAACATACACTCATTGCCTTAAAAATTAGCACACTTAGGAGGAATTGTCAGAATCAAACAAAATTGTACGTGTTAGTGTAATAGTGATATAAGTAAGTGACTACAAAATGAAAGCAAAAGGATCATTTATGCAAGAGAAACTACAAATAAAAGGTTTTGTTCTAGTACCCTGTTGGGCCACCTCTAGCGTGAATACACAATGTGATATGGGTGGGCATGGAAGCATACAATTGCTGTATGGTGTACTGTGGCATCTCAGTCCACAGTTGCTGCAGGTGCTCTTCTAGTTCAGTCAAACTCCTAGACTGTCCAACTTTGCATCCCAGTGATCCCAGACATGTTTGATTGATGACAAATCGGGGGACCAGGTGGTCCAGGAAAGTGTGACAATGTGGTAGAGGCAGTCCCGTGACACCATTTCTATGTGTAGTCAAGCATTGTCCTGTTGGAATATGGCTCTTGGAAACCCTACCATAAGAAGCAACACGTGACTTCAGAATGTCACTAATATACTGCTGGGCTGTCATGGTTCCTTTGATCACTATTAGATGTGACCAATTGTCATATGTAATGACACTCCAGACCGCCACACAGCTGTGCAGCAGTGTGCCACTCCAAAGCATAGGCATGACTGAGTTGTTCACCATGGGGCCTGCAGACATAAATATGGCTGTCATCAGTGCTGAAGACAACCTGATTTCATTCCATTCTGGTCTAATCCCGTTGAGAGTGACACCACTCCAAATAGAGGCAACGATGTGTGGCCATCAATAGAAGCACATGTAATGGCTGCCGCAATACCAAATGTTATCCTCACTCAGGTATCTCAAAATGGTACAGACAGACATTGGGGCATGCAATGATGGTACCACCTGTGTCTGTATGGCAGACAATGACATGGTCAGTTGCATGCGTGCTTGACAGAGGACCAGGCAATCCTCTTGGTGTACTGGGAGCATCCCAAGTCTTGGTACCTGTGTGAAAGCTCTCTGGTCCCAACTCCTCCTCACAGTGTTGTCAGAACAGTCTAGGTCAGTGGTATTCAATCTATGGGTCGCCACCACAAATGGGGTTGTGGAAAATACCTTGGTGTCGCACTGTTAAAATGTTTGAATACCATTGGTCTAGGTGATGGGCTATTTGGAGAGATGACCATCCAGTTTCTCTCAACCCAATGATCCTTCCCCTCTCAAACTCTATTAGTTGTTCACATGGTCTTCGATTGCAACATAAAAGCATCTCTAGTGATACACTGACCCTCTGCAACAGGTAAACTACAGACGGGTGCCTTTGCATTCTTTTTTTATAGGCCAAGGGGGACACACTTTAATGCACTCTGCTGGTATTATGCAAAAAATCATCATGCTATAACTCTAAACATTTCCTTATCTGCGTGCCAAGTTTCACAGAGATACATCAACTCCTTGGTGCATTAATTTTTATAGCAATGAGTATATTTATCCCTTTAACAGACAGAATTTGAAGTAAAGTAACAAAACATTCTCAAAACAAAACTTTAAAAATTTTTTTCATAGTAATTTGTTGTTTGAAAAAATATACCAATTTAGTAACATTCCAAACAGAAAAAAATAAAAAAGAATTGGATGTTACTCCTGGAAAAAGTGTATCACACAGTCTTTGATTCAGAATACCCTAATATAGCAAATAATTTTACATATAATTCATCAGATAAAATATTACAGAACAAACTAAAGTTAAAGAAAGAGTATTTATCTTTCCAGATGGATAACATTACTGAAGGACTATATATGTTAGTGCGTATAAAATCAGATAAACAAGTCTTTTGGGAGTGTTTTATATTGGTATGATGTTGAAGTACAAGATGCATTAGGAGAGAGAGAGTTTGGCATGGTGAATCTAAAATGCATTGACAATAATAAACTTGAATTTAAGATTGTAGAAAATGACACCTTTACTATTTCTTTGGATGATATTATTTTCTTATTGCCAGATCTAATTTTTGATTCATTAGGCTATAAAAAAGTGTAAACTTATAAATTCAAGCAATCAATAGTGGTTTCTGAGCATAATAAATTGACTTTTAATAATAAATTGACTTTTAAGTGCACTCAAGTGCACTTAAAAGTCAATTTATTCAATGCAAAAATTTTAATACAAAACTGGTTAAACATACTTGATGTGAAACCGTATTGATAACTTCTAATTACCGAATATTTGTTTTGGCAATGTAATTTCACTGATATCAAATTCAACCCACTCCAAGTATAATTTGATAGGATCTGATTGGATGTTTTTATAAAAATTATTAACTAAAAAGATGTTCTCTAAAATGTCAACAAGAGGAAATGCCAGTTTTCTATTAAGCTTTGCCATTAAGCCAAAACTCATAAAAACCAAAAACTCTATCAATATAACCCCACTTTATATATAATTAATTATAGAATAAATACTATTTATTAGTTTTAGTTGTAAACTCATTAAATATATAAAAAGTGATGCAAAAATTAGGTTACCTAATGCTCTTATTGGTCCTTCATTGTCTGAGGAATCACTGGAATTAAATGTATAATTAAATCAAGATGGAATGAAATTTATTAAATAATTATAAATTTACATCTCAACAACTTACATTATTTTATAAAGCTATATGATTATTTTTAATGCTTTTGAAGTTAAAAAAGTAATACAATGTTGTTCTAAAAGACTACTTTAACAAACCAGTATTATTTTATTAATAATAATAATAAAATCATATAAATAATTCAAACTGGATCAAGCAACAATTGAAGCTTAATTATTTTACTTTTGAAAAATTAAAGTGTTTGGCTAAAATGCATTAAAAGTAGAAAAATTTACATTTTCTACAGAAAAAAAAGATAAAAATTTATTGAAACTTTAGAAAATAATTATTATAGTATTCAGGTAGCTATTATTAAACATTTATGAAAAATCTTTTAAACTTCTATAAAGAAAATGCTCAATTTATAATTTGTGTAATCCTTAAAGATATATATAAATAGTTTTCATTAACAGTCAAACCTCTGTTTTTGAATATGTTCATTTCTAAAAAAGTTTTTCTAAACCAAAACAAATTTTTCATAAGAAACAATATAAAATGAATTAATCTGTTTCTGACCCTCAAAATAAAGTCTTTTTTTGTTTTTCATGCATAAAAATGCCTACAAAAATATTGTAATATTATATATAATATAATAATGTATTAAAAAATATTATATTAATAAATATTAATATTATAATATATAATATTATATTAATAAATTTTTGTTATTTAATTTGATTTAAGTACCTTTAAACACAAATTCTTAGATGCCATTTGTACTACACAAATGTCAATTAATACAGTTTTTATTAATTAATTTGATTTAAATTCAACCATGGCATGTACCAAAAAATGGCAGTGGTATCTTTCTTTCATGTGCATTGAAATCTAGTTAAATAGCAATGTCATTGATGATTTGTGTCATGTCTAATGATACAAGCAATCTTGGCGCCTTCTGAATCATTAGTCCTGTCATTAATCAATCGAGCCATTAATTTTCTTTAACACAGGAAGTAGAGGGAGTCAACCGTCTGTGTCCCTCTAATCTGTGGCTGGCTCTTGTCAAGTAGCTTGTTCCGCAACTGATGCAATTATGAGTTCAAAAGTGAGCCATTTGAAAACAGAGCTTTGACTGTATTTATAATTATTAGCAGCTCCATCCATTTTGCATAATGTAACTTTCATTTTATCTAAAGTTTGCTTCTTAATTAATAAACTAAGTAATTTACCTGCTACTAATTCAAATAATCTATCTGAAGCTAGACTAGGATTGCCCAAATTCAAATGACAGAGTTGCCTACTTTAATTGCATTCTATTTTTAAATACGTTAACGGAATATTTGTTCCAGATAACATATACTTGCACACATTCGCAAATCCACAATCTATCTTGTCTATACAAGTCATCACCATGTCACCTCAACATTTCTTATCAATTTTATTTCGGTGACATCATCAAAAGCATGTGAAGTGTCAAATGTATTTCACTCATATTTTAAAAGCTATAAATGTATTTCTAATAAAAGAATGTATAATTTTATGTGATATAAGAGCATAAAAAAAAACAATGCCACATTATTAAAGCACTTTACATTATTAACCGTATTTAGTACCTTGTAATTTACACTAATTTTAAATTTAAATATCATCGTACTTTAGTATACACTCTTCCATTGTTTTTGTCACTTTTTGGGACTATTAAAATTGGATGACAAAATCGAATACTTCTGTAACAACGTCCACAAAAATGTATTTATTTTTTGTTTTGTTTTAAAGTTTTATATTACAGTAGCATTTGTTATTCATATACCACATGAAATATAACTATAACATTTCTTAATTTTATAATAAAGTTAAAAAAGTTGTTTCTAATGTATCACTGTACAAAAGTGTGAAGCAAAATAGATATATTTAGATTCAGTGGTCCAAAAACATATTTTAATGATAAAGCTATGTTAAATAAAAAATTAAACTAAAAATAAAATATTTACACTGAAAAAAAATCTAATTTTTTTCTGCTGTTGACTTTGTGAAATTGTGAGTATTCTTGAACAAAGATTACAAATCAACATCACATCTGAAAAGTTGATTCCTTTTGCTTGGAAAAAAGTTTCAACATTTTTCAAGCATCATTACCATCTTCACTTATTTCACCAACATTGTCTTCATCATCTAGTTCTTGAAAGTCAGGAGTAATGTCAGAAATAGCTTTGATAATTTCATCATTTAAGGAGTATAATGTCAAACAGTCTTTGTCACAAGACACATATTCAATGTCCAGTGTTGGTAGCGTCAACAATACCCATGTCAGTGAAACACTTTAATGCATGTGTTTTTCCTTTAGATTCAAAGAATATCTTTTCTTTTTTTCACTGTTTCCACTCATTTGTATAGTAAACTAGTTGTTAAATTGTACAGAAAATATAAATCTAAACTTAACTAAATATTTCACAAAATTCTAAAAAAGTTACAATAGAACACATGTAAATGCAACTGTGCAACACAAAAAATATAAAAACAAAGACTTACTTCTAAAAAGAATACAATTGTTATTGCAGTAAATGTGCACGCCTACAACAACCTAAACAAACTTTTGCAAAAGCTGCAAATGCAGGTTTTGGTTTAATTTTCTACCCATACTTTTGGCACCATCTAAAAAAAGAGAGAAGAACTAACTCTGTATATTTCTGTCTTATGGGTAGAAGACAGAACTGGAGCTAAAATAGATTCTACTATGCAACAAATTCTGTTAAATTGTTGCTCCTCAATTAATTAACAAGCATTGAACCTATTAATTAAAGTACCTTAAATAGAATATTACTTATATAATATACAAGTATAAATAAAACAGGATTATTTTTATCATAGTGATTTTTGAATATGTTTTGTATTAGGTGACACAACTGTGAGAAGTGAAAAAATCAAGTTGCAAAAGTCTTAACCAAACAGTGACAGAACTGAGGGAGTGATATTTGTGAGGGTGACAAAAACAAGGAACAAGTGTATTTACTTTTTATCTGATTTTATCTATTGTGAATTATAATCTGTTGTAGTATTACATGTTTTTTATACTGTGCAAAATCAGTAAAAGAGTTCCTTGATATAAAAGTGCTTCTCTGGCCACCACAATCACCTGACCTTGACCCAATTGAACATTTAAGGGATCACATTGAATGAACCATCATAACAGAATAAATAACAAATAAAACTGATCTTAAAAACATCACCACCAGAGTTTGGAATTTAATAGACAAAAGTATTACAAAAAAATTGGTTGAATCAATGCCAAGTCCTTTAGAAGCTGTAATTAGAGCAAAAGGAGGTCCAACTCGTTATTAAAGGTATAAAACATTGTTTTTTCATTATTTATTTCTTCTGTCTGGATACTTTTGTGATGTGAAATTTTCAAAGTTTAAAATAAAATTATATTNCAATATTGTAAAATCCATGTGCAAATTTGAGACAAGAAATATGCTTACTCATATAAAAAATATAGAATGGAATTTGCACTTAAAAATAGTGAAATTTTGTAGAGAGGATTTCCCAATTTCTCATACTGTGTTAAAGTAAAAGTGTGTTATAGAAGTACCATGTTGTACAAGGGATACCCATACCTGTATATGGATAAAAATACAATTGATAAGATTTAAAAAATTAACTAAATAAACTTATAAAATTGGGTTTAAAAATCTTTTTAAAAAAAAATGAAATTAAAAGGTTTTAAACAACTATAAAAGCATAAACTACACTGTGTGAAAATCAACAAAATTGACATTACTACAGAACAGTGTATTATAAATGGAGGGTGGAAAGGTGGTTGGAAGAGATCTCCAATGGACTCTACCAATTATGTAGAAGTGGTTGTGAGATTTCACTAATGACTATACCTTCATTTAAATTCATTTTATTTTCTATTTTAATAGTTTCCAAATGTTTATACAGTTTCCTTTTAATAATATTTTTTCTCTTTTTGAGAATTTTATCATCATCTAGTGAAACCTCGCGACCTTCCTGGTTACAATGTATGGCAACCGCTGAATTGGTGTAATATTTTATTGCACGTAAATGTTCTCTTATTCTAATTTTTAATGCTCTTAAATATTTTAAGTAAAGCATGTGTGTGAAGTAATTTAATATCAACATTTATTTTAGTAAGATCTATAATAAGGGCTGAAGAGATAACAGACCTGAAATACATTTCCTCCATATACAATAATAAAGTCTATATATTCAATTAATGTATCCCTGTGTGATTGAAGTTATTAAAAAAAGAAGCCAAAATTTAGGCTTAAAGGAAACTAGCATCTGCCATCCAAATTACATCATGCATGTAATTTGAATGGCAAAGGTTAAAAAAAAACTTTTTTAGAAATATAATTTCAAATGTAATGTATGATGATGGAATATGTCCTCAAAACAATGGCAGACTTTAATATTAGAATGGGATAACCAGAGCATCTTTCATACTATATATCTGATAATTCTAATAATTATGAGCTTCTTACAAGAATTTCTAAAGATAAAATTTCTAATTACAGTGAAACCTGCTGAAGTGACAAGCTGCTTAAGTTGACCAGTTTAAGCTGTCTCTGCAAAGTAATACATTTTGCAATAAAGATATATCTGCCTACAGAGACTACTTGTCTATTGTGACTGTTGACTATTTTGGTCATGTCCCAAGATAAGAAATCAACTTAGGTAAAATCACCATTAAAAAAAAAACAAAAGCAAAACCATTTTAAAGAATGTAATTCAATTTGTAGTGATCACATTATAAATAAAATATTTGAAATTATTGTACTGTACTTTGTAGATTATAGGAAAACTAGTTTAAACCCTTTATCTTTTGAAATCATTATTTTAGAAGTTTGAGTAAAAAACAAAAAAAAATAGCAGTTTGAAAAATTTTAAATCATCTGTATCATAAATTGAAAACACCACTAGCAATATGCCAATACTGTGCAATTTTTGGCAGCAGCACTGGAGGCAAA